GAAATACTCTTTAGAATTTAAGATGAGGTTGCAGGGTAGAATTTTATTGTCAAAAGTACACGTACTTTAATGACTAACAATTAAAAGCAGTGCAGTTGAAGTGTAACACTCCTTTGTGTACATTTATACCAAGCAACTTGGTTTTTAATGGCTACTGTATGATGTCAAAACTATAAATTATTTACAGTATCCACCATTACTAGGCATTATTTTAATACAAGGCCAATTATAAAGCATAGGACGTTACTTTCGTTAGTGTTTTACTAATTAATATTCTTTAGTAATTTAAAAAGCTGAGAACGAATGCTGCAAACATGAAATATTGCTTAAAACAAAGTAAAGTAAAGTGAAAAAAAATTCTTAGAGTAAAATAACAATTCACTGCAATTAAGAAAATTATAGTAATTACACATGTATTCATACTGAAACTATGTTATGAGAACCTGGAGAAAAGTATAGTAATTACACATGTATTCGTACTGAAACTATGTTAAGAGAACCTGGAGAAAAGTATAGTAATTACACATAAATTTAAAGTGAAACTATGTTATAATCTTTGTTAACCCCAGAATTACCAATGAGTTTATGGACCGCATTGGCTTTTTAAACAAAGTATTCTAGATTATTTATCTAACAGATTGCTTGTGGGTCCATTAGTTTATGAGCTACATAACCCATAGAAACATATAAGTCACAAAACATAAACAAAAATACCACCAATAATGCTATTAATGCCACTAACGATTGCTGTTGTTCTAACAGTTATAAAATATAACACAACTCAATATGCAGACACCATCGCATAGTGAACAGTTTAAAAATAAGTCGTTAAAACGTGGGAGATACCTTTATAACATCAAGCGTTAGCTAGCCAGAATAGCCAAATGATCTTTATGGACAATATAAAAACAAGTCGTTAAAACGTGGGAGATACCTTTTCAACATCAAGCGTTAGCTAGCCAGAATAGCCAAAAGATCTTTATGGACAATATAAAAACAAGTCGTTAAAACGTGAGAGATACCTTTACAACATCAAGCGTTAGCTAGCCAGAATAGCCAAAGGATCTTTATGGACAATATAAAAACAAGTCGTTAAAACGTGGGAGATACCTTTACAACATCAAGCGTTAGCTAGCCAGAATAGCCAAAGGATCTTTATAGACAATATAAAAACAAGTCGTTAAAACGTGGGAGATACCTTTACAACATCAAGCGTTAGCTAGCCAGAGTAGCCAAATGATCTTTATGGACAATATAAAAACAAGTCGTTAAAACGTGGAAAATACCTTTAAAATCAAGCGTTAGCAAGCCAGAATAGCCAAATCATCTTTAATCATGCATCTTCAACGTGCAGTCTACGTTCTGTTATTAAAAAGATCTAGTTTGGTTTTTCTGAGCCAGTGTGATTCTGTAATTAAGTAGTACGTGTAATGTTTTCACCAATCTTTTGGGTGACTTTTGGCCTCAATGGAGACTGAATTGGTTAATCTGTTACTGAGCAACTTACATAATTAGAGTTTTTCATCAGAAAAAAAACAATAAAAAACATCAAAATTTATAAGTTCATACCACAGATTGTTTTAAATACAGATTCGGCCCAAAACAATTACATTTTACAAAAGAAAAATCCAAAAGATATTTAAAACGTGACAAAAACAAAAATACTTAATTACACTAACGAGTTGATGGTATTTGTTGCTCTACAAAGGAACTTTAAAAATAAAGTAAAAAGTACTTGTGTACATTTTAATATCTATCGCAACAAAAAAGGATCCATTGGGTTACCAGTCCGAAATGGAAAGGCAGAGCGATAATGATAATAAACTGTGACAATATAGAGTTATACTGCTTCAGTCCAAAAGGGCATCAGATAATAGTATGTGAAGTACTGAGTACGTGTGTATTTAGGGAAGATCATAATACGTTTACTTACCGGCTACAAAAAAAACTAACTTTGTTGTCTTGAGGCAAAGCTAAATTGGACTATTTGCCGTGTTCACCGCAGGGAATCGAACCCCGTATTTAAGCGTTGTAGTTTCGTAAACTTGCCGCTGTCCCATTGGGGGACCTCTATTATATGATAACTGCTTTACTTTTTCGTTTGTTTGTTTCAGAATTTTCGTGCAAAGCTACTTAAAATGCTATCTATGCATAGATCTCTAGCACCCACCAACAGCACCCACCATCAACTATTGGGATACCCTTGTCTGATCAAAGTAGGATTCGATCGTCACTTTTGTGGCATACCTGTGGCCCTAAAGTGCGGTGTGGTTTTTTGTGGCAATTGGGGCGCGAACCATGAACCCCTTGTTTCACAGTGCAAGCAAGTTAACACGCGTATATGTCAATTACGGTTGATTGTCATAAAATTTTCCTTGTCTATATTAATTTCCTATTTGTCTTTATTTTTTTAAATGTTCAATAATTGGGACTTTTTTCCAGCAGAAACTCCACGTTAATAATGAAGCTAAAATTTTTACTGACTGCACATTTCTGTGATTGGTTGTTGTAACTTCTCATCAAAACTCAAGAACCTTTGAAAGAAGGCCCGTTATGACCAGATGGTTAGGGCGCTCGACTCGCAATCTGCGGGTCGCGGGTTCGAATCCCCGTTTCAGCCATAGCGGCGTTATAATATGACGGTCAATCTCACTATTCGTTGGTAAAAAGTAGCCTAAGAATTGGCAGTAGGTGATGATGACTAGCTGTCTTCCCTCCACTCTTTCATTGCTAAGTTAGGGACAGATAGCCCTCGTGTGTCTTTACGCGAAATTCAAAACCAAACCTTCAAAGAAAAACTGTTCATTTTCGTAGGGATCTTGGCCATTGATACACAAAATATACGATTTTTCTTTCCAGTCTTTTACTGGAACAACGAGTTTAAATTTAACAACAAAATACTGAAATAATCACAACAGGACTAAAACAGCTGTTGTTTTCTGCTAAAAGGGAAAACTATACAAGCGTTGTAACAAAGCGAGGGAAAACCATACGAGCGTTGTAACAAAGCGAGGGAAAGGCTTGTGGGAAAAACTATACCAGTGTTGTAACAAAGCGAGGGAAAGAGTTGAAGAAAAAACATACGAGCGTTGTAACAAAGCGAAGGGAAAAGTTGAGGGAAAACCATACGAGCGTTGTAAGAAAGCGAAAGAAAAAGCTGAGGGAAAACCATACGAGTGTTGTAACAAAGCGAGGGAAAGAGTTGAGGGAAACCATACGAGCGTTGTAAGAAAGCGAGGGAAAGAGTTGAGGGAAAACCATACGAGCGTTGTAAGAAAGCGAAAGAAAAAGCTGAGGGAAAACCATACGAGTGTTGTAACAAAGCGAGGGAAAGAGTTGAGGGAAACCATACGAGCGTTGTAAGAAAGCGAGGGAAAGAGTTGAGGGAAAACCATACGAGCGTTGTAATAAAGCGAGGGAAAGAGTTGAGGGGAAACCACACGAGCGTTGTAACAAAGCGAGGGAAAAACCATACTAGCGTTGTAACAAAGCGAGGGAAAGAGTTGAGGGGAAACCACACAGCGAGGGAAAAACCATACTAGCGTTGTAACAAAGCGAGGGAAAGAGT